ATGCCGGAACTTAATCCACCTGCAGGGTTTAGCATAACAATCCTTCATGAACTCATTCCGGGGACATCATCAAACTAACGCACATGGTGACCGTAACAGTAGGAATATTAATCCAACGAACTGAACCTCACCCATGTGAATCAAAGTAATATATATTATACATATCTGCTTGTTTAATATCTTACGGGTTAAGAGAATGCAGTAATTAACCGAGGCCTAGTTCATTTACGACGATCAGTATAAAATGAACTTCTCCTCTCTGGGATCCTGTTCAATACATAAATGTACTTGTTGTGACCATTTTTGTTACGTTTTTCGTTGTTATTTTGTTCTTCTTTTCCCCCGTTTTAGGTCTTTTAGTTGGTTTTTAGTTCATTTTATAGTTTGTTGTGTGTTTTGCTCTATTTTGGCTTTTTATGGTTTTTTTGTATATTTTGTCGGTTTTCTACGTTTTTTTTCTTGTTTTTGGTGTGCAGATCCGAAGCCCGTGAGGAATAGATTTGGCTCAAACATCGATCAGGCAATCATGGTTATGTAAAAGGGTTCATTGGCGACATATAGGAAGAAGCGGAGCTCAATTTCAAGCTTGGACGAGTCCAAACGGGCCCAAAGCGCGAAGTCACACGAAGAACGTCTTTGGTGAGCTGGTCATAAGCTTTGAGAGAATTGTATTTCAAGAATAATTTGGCCATTCAAGCATCATTGAATAGAGGGGTTCGTTAGCGACGCGTAGAAAAAAATGAAACTCAATCCCGAGTTCGGACGAGGCCAAACGAGCCCGAAACGCAAAGTCATGCAGCCCAACCCCATCTAGCGGCGCTAGGGGTGCTAGCGGTCTTCTGAAGCTCATTTTTTACCCTAGCAGCGCTAAGGCCCCCCAAACGGCGCTAGGTACCCCCTAGCGGCGCTAGGGCCCCCCTTAGTGGCGCTAGGGCCTGGACCCCTCCACTACTTGCCCAATTTAAGGCATTAGGCCTATTTTGAGGGTACTTTCACTGTGGTCGGAGTTGTGGAGCATTTTACTCCTTGTTTTGTGATGATAATGCCTTAAACTATAGATGGATGTTGGATATGAAGTAGTATAAATGGGGGTGAAGTGCAAGACTTCAAAGCATCCCTTCTTCAAGGGGGTTCTCCCCTCTTCTCCTTCCTCTCCTTCTTTCTTCTTTCTTGGTTTTATTTGTGAGTGTAATATTTGAAGAATACAAGATTTCTTGTGAACTTGGTTTGGCTTGTACGTTTGATTTTGATTCTCGACTTAGATTAATAGTAAGTTTTCCTCATTTGATTATGAACATGAAAGCTTGTGTTAAATCTTTTGTTGTGGTTGATTTCATCATGAGTCGCTAAATTCATCAGCTAGGGTTAGGGGATAAATGCTCCAGTTTTTTTTTTCAATTACATACTTGTCGATTACTCAATTCTTTACAAGTTGTGCTTATTCTTAGATTAAAAGCCCAATCATCATGTTGATCTACTTAACCGATTGTTAAACCGAGAGGAGATAAATCGGTCGAACGTGGCTTGTTAAGAATAGGATCTCAAATCTTTACAAATTAGATTAAATGCCTAATCACCATGTTAATCTACTTAATTGATTTGAATCCAATAAGAAACTAGTCGGTCGAACTTGGTTTGTTAAATTTAGGATAAGTTCGAAAAGAATTGCCTACATATTGATTGGTTCGATACTTGCTCATTATTATTATCCTCTTGAAACGAAAGTGGTTGAGAATAATCATACAAATGAACAGGTCTTTCGACACTCTTATTCGAGTATTTGATGGTAGATAAAAGTACTTAAACTGAAAGCAAATATCCCCGATACCCTAGCATCCCCATCATTATTGAAATCGTAGTTCGCGTTGTTACATTTAAATCGCTTTAATTAAGAATCATTAGTTAAAAATCAAATCCAACAAATTGAATTAGAGTGTTTAGGAATTTATTTTCTATTTTTGTGTTGGACTACTAACTAGCAAATGAAGCTCCAAACCGTCTTCCTTTGAGAGACGACCCGAGTCCAGATAACTCGGTTACGAAATTATCCCACCACAAAATATTGCACAACAGTACTAGTGCAACTAATCAGTCAAGACAAACTGTACAGTTGACACTACAACCGTTCGGATGGGGTGTTCATGTCCATCTAGGTTGTGAACAACTATTCTTGTTCGCAAGTGACTGATAGAGTGATCTTCGGTTCGCCCGATGACGACCCACCCTATCTAAGTGCAGAACAACAGAACGTAGAACTTGTTAATCTAACACGATTCTCATTCATAAAGGGAAAATGTGTAATAACATGCAAAACCAAGCTTTCAGTATATAACACTAAGAATAAGATCATGGTCTAGCCATGCTCCCAATTCTATAGGAGGTGAAGCTATGTGATGCATCCCAATCGTAGACCAATACGCCAAGCTCGCCATATGGTCGGCCGCACAATTAGCTTCCTGATGCACGTGTTGGATCCTTACGTGCCAGTCCTTTGCAACCAAGCTTCGAACGGCTTGAACCAATGCATCATTATCGTCAGCCCCAAGGATCATTCGTGTCACGCATCGATTTTATGGATTATAAAGTCAGCTCTAAATAATTCCAATCATAACAAAATTACACACACTTCAAACAGATTGGAAATAGAATGGGAAAATTACATACATGACCCCTAGTGTAGATATATTTACATAAATACAATCCGTGGGAAACATAATCAAAATAGGATTAATTACTGATTTTTTTTTTTACATTTGTAAGAGATTGTGATACCAATCAACAGATTTGTTTCTCTCTCTCCATATATTGAAAGTCACCTCCAGAAGGCGAAATCCCCGCAAAGAAAACGGCAAACACATTAAAAAGAAAAATAAAGAAAAAACATAGGAATCGCGATTACCTATAATTCAGGAATTCACGAATTCAAATTTAGAAAACGGGATTATCATATCAACGGATTCTTGTATTACCAAAAGAAAAAAAAAATACATAGCGGATGAAAAAAAACGAGGTTGTTGTTTGTGAAATAGATCATGAAGTAGCCTCGGATCCAAAGACGGTTAAAGGTATATTAATGTTTATTTAGATAATTTTGTTGTTTGGTGATGGATTACGAAATTATAGTGTTCTTTTTTTTAATAATTTCAACTTTCGTGTTGTGATGAATAACTGATGAAGGTTTAATTAATTGTGTGTGTGTGTGTGTGTTTTTTTTTTCGTGATGAATAACTGAAATAGATGGATTTTATAGAGCATTCACCGAACATGCTGCAGATACAATGCTGGAATCAGTAAAGTATACAGAAGATAAACGGGAGATAAACATGCAGTTGCAAAGGTATACTTCTGACCTCTTAGATATATAAACGTAATATATACAGTAAGTAAACAAACTCATATTGTTGTAGTCTTTGTCTTAATTATTTAAATATATTTCGTTTATACTGCAGGTATATCCAGAGGCTTCACACTATTTATGTGATCATATATCGAACAACTTGAGGACAAAATTAGATTGATGTGTTTACTTATTGTTTTATTTGTGGTTTGGGTTCATGTTTATGTTATTGATCGAAATGGGATTTTCCGTCCATCGAGCTCTTGCAGAGCGAATATATGTTTAGATATACTATATATATACATCAGATAAACATGATCTGATAGTTTCTGTAATATTAATCGTATATTTATACATAAGATAAGCAATATATAAACAACACTAGATCGAGATAAAACATAATTCACAATTCCGAATGACTACAAAATCCAAATCGAATGTAGTTATACATAAGATAAACAACAAATGTGTACTTTACATGACATTTACAAAGTTCAACCAACAACTTTTCGCACTCCAAAAAACAAGTATAGATTGTGTATAACTAACGTATAATTTGTGTATATGTTTACTACACTCTTTTGAATGGACATTTAAGTGCAGACAGGTCCTGGCTACTTCGAACAAACTTCTGGCGACAAACGGTCAGGTTGCCACGTCGAACGGCGGTCGACTCATGGACTGGGTCCTCGGCGGTGATGGCGGACAGGGCTGCTGTAAGGAACTCGACTCGGCTGGGCCCGTGATGGCAGGCTGTTCGCTCGGAGAACCGTCGACGGCTCATGGTGTTGCTGCTCCTAGCGCGAGTTTTCCGGATGAAGGGGAGGGACATGAAGTGGCAGCCGTCCGATTTGTATGGCCAAGTCTTCTTTTTCATATGACAGTGGATGTCGGCCAAAGATTCACCCGGATATTTGGCTTCGATTCTTCCTTCTGCTTCATATGGCCAAGTCTTCTGCCTCTGCATGCTGCTGGCGGCTACCCACGCCTTCAGTCGATCCGTCGAGCCACAACCCCCGGCCGGAGATTCTGCTTCGATTTTGGTTGAGATGAGTTCGGTGTTTTTTGTCTATGATAGATGAGAGATGATTTTTTTTTTTTTCTGTACACAATGACCGATATATGAAGAGAGAGAGAGAGAGAGGAATTGATTTCTTTTCTTGCTTTACCGTGGACGGTAGAAGTGATGGATATGCACGTTCCTCGAAAATCATGCAATATATTAATTGAGTGAAGTTGTTTCTTGTTTTTAAAACTGACTATAACATCTACCTTAATTAAATATAATTAAACACAATTAACGGTTAATCAGGCTCTAATTAACAACCTGACCTTTTAAATTATGTTAATTATTAAAGAACATATTTATGATGAAAAGATTTTGTGCTCGTAAATTTAATATTATTTATGTACCCTGTTTTAAAGAGTGTAAATTTCTCAAATAGAAATGGACGTCGCCTCAAATCTCACGAGTTCAATTCCGCCCCAATGTGCTCAACACAGGCCCAGACCGAGGGCCCAAACCCGTTTCGATATGTACTCTATAAATACAGCCTAAATTATTAATCTCCAGCCTCCACTGAGTAGGGTTTATAGTTCTCGCCTCCACGAGAATTCTCTACTTCCTTCCAATCTGTTGTACATGCTGATGTATTTTTCGATTTCAAGCGATTATGGGTTCAAATTTTAGGGCTGAAATGCCAAAAGGGGAGAGCTTGAACAGTTTCTTGTTGGTAGCTCTGTAAATATCGGCAGGTTTTCTGCTGGTGGCCCTTCAATTTCTAAGCCCTTACATTGATGATGGCATCATAGTACGGTTTTGTGCTTGGCTATGGGTTTTTTTTTCAGTGGAAAAAGTTGAGATTTTTCTTGGCCTATTTAGGCTGAGCTCTGCTTTTTCCCACTGATTGCTCATTTGGCTAACTATCACAAACCCGCCTCCAAACGCCATTACATCTGATAAAATTCTAAAATTTTTCTCATTTTTTTATTTCCGCAGAAAAATGGCCTCTGGCATTGAATTTTCTAGATCATTGTATAACTTTGTTGAGTGATTTGATCCACACGAAAGCACATAATTATGCTAGTTACAAAAGGATTCAAATGTTTAGTATAAAAAAAAAAAATACAAGAGGATGCAAAAAGCCAGCATTACCAAGGATATACAAAGTACAATCTAGGAGTATACAAAGTCCATAATTATTCTAAGAGGTATTTGCTAAGTAGATGTAAACCTCACTCAGAATTTTTGGTAATCAACTTAAATCTGTAATTTTCACTTAGCGGTCCCTTAACTTATTAGCCATACCTTTTAGATCTTCTGCAGCCAATGACTGAGCTCCATTTGCAACCTCTTTGGAGTTGTTTCTGGAAAGGCTGTGGCCTTAATTAATGATGCTGATTAGTTTCTAGAGAAACACCAAATCAAATATGTCTTCTGTTTCTTGTATTTGTTGATTGTGATTGGATCTTTTCCACTGCCTGGTTGAACATCAGTTTTAAATGTTAATCTATCTCATTCCTTCATCAGTTGAGCTCATTGACCCTTACTTGCTTCTTTGTTGTCTAGTTGATGTATGCGTGCATGATTTTGGTTCACCCGACTCTTTTGAAGAATCATCTTCAGTTTTTGAGATCTCGACATCCTGGTTTTCTTCTTCAATCATGAGACTGCAAATCAATTTTATCGAGCGTATTGATTTGGCCAATTATTTCGATTTCTCCCTTTTCCAGTCGTAATTCTTGACCAATCTCATTAGCTTCTTGTCCTTGTTGAAATTGATTGTTGATAGCCTCATCAGTAAGAAGATGGCATTCCGGTTCCGTTGTTTCCAAATCAATGATTTCGTACATTTGATTGAGTTGAGTTGGTTGATATCGATTTCCCTTGAGTTCTGCGTAAACCTCTTCAATGAGTTTGTCTAGTGTGTCTTCGTCTCCTTCCGCTTGAACAATCTTGTTTGCCATCACAAAACCAAATAATACATTAGCTCAACCCCATTCAATTCCACTTCACAACACAAAAAGCATCATTTGTTTAAGGTTATCCTAACTACAAATCATACACATAAATTACATAAGAGATATTGTTCTTGAGGGATTTCCACCTTTTTTTTCCAGGTAATGAGACTAAACTTTACAGTAAAAATAGATGGGTGTAAGTAAGGTATTGAACCAAAAACAAATTTAATAAAACCAGTTACCACTACTAAAATTTTGGACAGTACATTTTCTTTGAAACACTAAAAACTAAAATTTTGAAGTAAAATAGTCTTTGTGTTCCATATTATTATTGTTTCCAGACAGTATATTTTCTTTGAAACACTAAAAACTTCAAAATTAAAGTAAAATAAATAGTGTTTGGGTACCATATTGTTATTGTTTCCACATTCTTCATGCGGCATATCTCTCTTACGAGTTCTACCTCGTCTTTTTCCAGCCTCAGTCATACGTCTCGGACGAACAACTTTCTTGTTTTGCTCAAAATTCTTTCTCACAGAAATCCACTTTTTCCTACGAGACAAAGGAATGTCATCAGCCACTGAGCCTTTGTCTTGGTTTTGTAACCACTCAATCCTTTCTCCATCAGCTCTGTTCTCACCATCAGAAGCCCCAATGTCAATGAAGACAATATTTTCTAGTGCTACACACTCAATAGGATGCTCATTTTCTTGATCAACACTCACTTGACAGGCCCTGCCTGAATTCTGATTGGTTACAATTTTTCTTGCATTTCGAGTCTTTTTTCTATTCTTTCTCTTCTTCTTCTTCTGTATGCATTTACCCTTCTTTGGGCTGAAACTCTCACTGGAGCTAGATTCATATGCATGACTAAAGCAATAACTGGGGTCAGAGCTTGGGCTTGGGCTTGGGCTTGGGCTTGGGCTTGATTTACCGATGGAGTAACATCCGTTGTGACTTTTAACAAGATCGACACATTTTTCCAGGTGGTGCTTAAGCAAAGCAGTATGTGCAAATGGCAAGTCTTGATGTTCTTTTAGGATGAACTTGGATACTGATTCCTCACTAGAACCTCCTTTCTCGTTCAACTGTCTAATCGCATTCTCGATCATCTGTCACATTATTTTTAACTTTTCATCAATTTATAGAGTAAACAGGTAAAGCATTACTAGCAGGTAGAAAGCACAACCCACAATTTCCCATCTTCAGACCAAAGAATTAATATCTTCATCTAGCAAAGCATGTTCTCAAAGACCATACACATTAAATGCTCCAATAATGTAAAGGTGCATAAAAAAAGCAACATAAGAGTATAAAAATTTGTTTCTTATCAAACTATTTCCTGGTAAAAGATAGGATGAGTGAAAAGAAGCCAACCAATGGGTCAGAATCAGCACTGATTATCTTTTCTATTTTGGGGATTGGGAGAAAATGGTAATATAAAGCTAAATGTAAGAGATAGAGTTAAATCAGTTTCAACATGCAATAGGTGAGAATAAAATAACCCAAGAAAAAATCCTCATCAGCCCAAGCCTTAACAAAAAAATCAACAATCAGCCCACAAAGAAACAGAGGTTCAAAAGGGTAAGTAAAAAAAATCACCAAATGCATGATAAAGATGACATTTTTCCAAAGAAAAAAAATGTATTAGTAAAGAGAAAGCAAGTACCCAAGCGTAAGGGGGGTGATCAGGCGTGTGGATGTTGGGAAAAATTTGTTGGATGCGTGAATCGATGAAGGCTTTCTGTGGAGGAGTGAGCGATTTTCCAGAGGCATTGGCGCATTTTATTAGCAGCGATTTTAAGTTATCGAGTGAACGGCCGTTGGCGGTGGCTGCATGTGGCGGTGACGGTGGTGAGGGTGCTGCTGATTTTGGTTTCTCCATTTTTTGGGTTTAGTTGAAAATGACGGAGCTGATTTTGAGTTGGCTGTGGTGAAGTATTTATTGCTGCGAATTAGACAGCTTAAAGAATTGTTGTCTTGTTTTTAATTAGCGGATGTTTGGGTTTTTTTTTTTATCGAAACGATAGATGGAATTAAAACTGAAAAATGTACAAGGTTCGTGAGCATACTAGCCCATATGAAGGATAGCTCCTACACTGGAGGATCACCAAAAGGTGTCCTAAAATCAAACAAGCTAATATTAGACAGCAGAGACAAAACTACAGAGACTACCCAATACAGTAAGCAAAAAACGAGCAGCAAAAACTAACCAAACCACTGTCTAGAACAAACACCATAACCACAATTCACAGCCATTAATAAACAAGAGAACACCCAAGGACTACACCAAACCCACAATGCACAGCCATTAAAAAACAAGAGAACACCCCAAAACTGAAAATCAACCACTGATCGCTCAAGGAACCTAGCTGGTCTCCAGTTTTAAGTTGCTGCCTTGTCAGAGAATTCATGCTAGTCATCCAAAGCAAACCTCACCACCTCCTTAGCTGGTCTCTGGACTTTTTCAAACACCCACTGATTTCTTGCTTTCCAAATCTCCTAAAGCAGGTAAGCAGTAATTTTAATCCTATCTTCAGTTGTAGGGCATTTTTCCATTAAGCACAATGAATCCCACCAGCCCTTGAAATCAACAGTCTCATTTTCAATGCCATCCCAGGTGACAGGTGATAATTTCCAAATCCCTTTAGCTCGAGTACAGTGAAAGAATAGATGCTCTAAAGATTCTGGGCCTTCACCACATGCTTTGCAGATGACTTCAACTAGTAGTCCCTTCTTATATAGGTTACAGTTTACTGGAATGATATTAGAGTAGCACTTCCAGATGAAGTGCTTCACTTTTTCTTTGATATGCAATGACCAGCTCTTCCTCCTGACAATTCTGCCCACTTTCTGTTCCATGCTGCACTCTGGCTTGTCCAATTGGCTCCATTTTTCATATACCAGCTTGGTATAAGTTGTTGCCACTGAGTACTCTCCTTTAGTATTCCAGTCCCATATGATTCTGTCCTTCTCTTCAGGTTTCATATTTTTAATGCTCTTGATGGCCACCACTTCCTGCTCAGTGAACACCTCTTTCAATAGGTCTACATTCCAGTGCCTCCCTGTGTTGTCCATTAGTTCACTCACATAACACAATTATGAGTTTCCTGGCTTTAGAGAAATAGGTTTGAATTTTCTGAGGCTGGGAATCCATGGATGTTCCCAGATTTTGACTGATTTTCCATCTTTCACCACAAACCTTATTCCCCTTCATAAAATTTCCTTAGCCTCCATCCAGCTGTTCCAGAACCAAGACCCATTTTTTGATTTTTGAGCTTCCAGAATTGAAGTTTTTGGGAAGTATTTGGCTTTCGGTATTTTGCTGACCAGTAAGTTTGGCTTGGTGAATATCCTCCAGACTTGCTTTGTAATCAAGGCTTGGTTTAGCAACTGAATGTCTTTGAAATTTAGTCCACCTAACTCCTTAGGTAAAGTTAGCCACTTCCAAGCCTTCCAGTAGACACCTTTCTTCTTTGGGTCAGAGGATTTCCACCAAAAATTTGCAAAAACCTGTTCCAACTGCTTACAGATAGTTTTAGGAAGAACAAAACAAGACATTACATATATGGGCAAAGCTCCCAGCACAGCCTTAAGCAACACTTCTTTCCCTGCTTGAGAAAGGAAATAGTTTTTCCAACTATTCACTCTTTTTTTTACATTTTCAGTAACAAATGAGAAAGTGTCAATTTTAGAGGTGCCAATGCCCAGAGGCAGTCCCAAATATCTAGAGGAGTTGTGATGGGCTATGCCTACCAGGACACTACTGATCTCATTTTTTACATGGAGGGCTGTATTTTTGCTGAAGAAAATAGAGGATTTTTCCAGGTTCACAGTTTGACCAGAGAATGTTCTAAATTTCCCCAACATATCCAACAAGGTTCTAGCATGAGAAGTATCAGCTTGACAAAAAACAATAGTATCATCCGCAAAAAATAAGTGGGTGAAAGAAGGCCCATTTTTACAGATTTTGATCCCACAAAACAGGTTACCAGAAGAGAGATATTTGAGCTGCCTAGATAGAATTTCAGACACTAAGATGAAAATATAAGGGGACAGAGGGTCACCTTGTCTAATCCCTCTGGAGGGTGTCAAAAAGCCACAAACTTCACCATTAAGATTAAAAGAAAAGGATGTGGAAGTTAAACATGCCATGATCCATTTAACAAAGGTGGGGTGAAAACCAAATTTGAGTAACACAAGTTTAATACAGTCCCACTCAAGCCTATCAAAGGCTTTTGACATGTCTAACTTAACAGCCATATAGGCTTTCTTGCACTCCTATGTCTGTTCAGAAAGTGAATAGCTTCAGAGGCTATAAGAACATTATCAAGAATTTGCCTTTCTGCAACAAAAGCTGATTGATTCTCACTTATACACATTGGCAAGCAAGCTTTTAGTCTCTTAGCAAGAATTTTGGAAATAACTTTGTAGGTTACACTACAAAGACTAATAGGTCTGTACTGAGAAGCCAGGTCAGGATTATTACATTTGGGAATCTGGGAAATAAGGAGTGATTTAGACTTTTAAGCAATTGACCAGAATCAAAGAAACTATAAACCAAAGCACAGAAATCAGATTTGACAATTGACCAAAATGTTTGAAAAAAAGAGGAGGTCATACCATCTAGACCAGGGGCTGTGTTGGGATCAATACTGAAAATGGCCTATTTAATTTCATCCTCACCAACTGCTGCCACAAGCTCTGAATTAAGTTCTTCTGATATGGATTCAGGGATGACCTCTAGAAGCTCAGCACCATTCTGGGATCCTTGAGTGGAGAATAGACTAGAGTAGAACTCATTGAGGCAGTCCACAATCTCACCCTTGCTTTGGCATATTCTTCTGTCTTCTGTCATTAATCTTGATATTTTGTTCACTGCCCTTCTTTCTCTAACTGCTGCATGAAAATAACTGGTATTTCTATCTCCATTTTTGAGCCAATTGGACCTTGCCTTTTGCTTCCAGTAATGTTCTTCTTCTTCATTGGCCTTATCCAAATTATCCTTAAGTTTTCTCCACAATTGCCAATCCCTCTCCCCTCCTTGATCATTTAGCTCTTTTAACTTTATGTTGAGGTCTGCAATTTTCAGTGAATTCTCCCTCTTAAAGGAGCTACTCCATTTTAGCAGTTGAACCCTTGTTTCTTTAATTTTGGCTTGAAACCTGAACATTGGAGTACCAGTTTGAGGCTTTCCCCATGCTTCTGATATTGCCTCTCTGATTGCTGCCTTTTTAATCCACCTTTTGTCAAAATAGAACCTCCTCTTGACTTTAGGTTGAGCCGGATCAAAAGAGAGAAGCATTAATGCATGATCAGAAGAACTTCTGTGAATGTTCTCCACTTCTGCATTTGGGAACTGAGAACCCCAATTTAGAGAGCTGAAAACCCTATCTAGTTTTTCTTGGACAAAGCCTTCCCCATCCCTTCTATTGGCCCAAGTAAACATGTATCCATCTGTTTCACCTCACACCTACCCATCTCAGCAACAAAATCCCTGAACCCTTTGCAAGAAGCCTCAGATCTTTTCCTACCCCCTTGCTTATCTGAGGGATCAAGCAAGTCATTCCAATCCCCTCCCAAAAACCATTTATCACCCCAATTACCTCTTTCCTCATAAAGAAAATTCCATTGGGCCTTCCTAAGGTTTGGATCAGTGCTTAGATAAAGAAAAACCCCCCATATACTAGATTGGAGCTTATCATCCCAAACCTGAACTTGGAAACAAAATGAATTTTTAGTGATGGCAATGATTTGGACAGACTGGTCCCACCCCAAGAAAAGGCCCCCACTCTTGCCCACTGGGTCAACAACTACCCATCTCTCCCCTAACCCTAAGTTTTTAGAAACTGTATGTACATATTTTTCTTTTTTTTTTTTTTGTTTCAGAAAGAAATAAGAAGGTTGGGTGGTGAAGTCTACAGACTTCTTTGATTTGGGAAATTGTAGAGGGCCCACCCAGCCCTCTACAATTCCACACCGCTGCATTCATTTAGGGGGTTGGGGCCAATTTGGGCTGGCCTTCTCCACCCTATCAGATTCCATTTTTTGTTTCTTGCTACCTTTCTTGCTCATGAGAGAGATGTCCTCGGCCTCTGCATCTGCATCTTCCTGAGGAGCATCTTTCCTTTTCTCACCTCCAGCAGCAAGTGGTTGACATTGTGAGGTTTCCCCTTCGGTTTTTGGAGATTTCCTTTTCCAGCCTCTTCTGTTGATGATTAAAGTCTGTGTGTTATCTTGAGCTTGAGCGTGCCCTTCCACATCCTCCATACAAAGGTCTACTGCTATAGGCTGTAATTCAATTGGGTGAAGGCTTTCCACCACTGACATTTTTTCTCCTTGTATAGCAAGAGTGTGGGCAGTTGGTTGAGGTTCTATAGGTGTAGAGGGAAGTAAAGTTGGTTGCATTTTGGAGGAGCTAGCCTTATCTGCTGGGGTTATCATGGTTACTGGAGATTTGGTAGGTATTTGGTTTGGGAAATTTGTGCTTGGTTGTGTTGGGTTTTCTGGATTGTTGTCTTGGAAAGAGGGGATGGTGAGAGGCTGAAAGTTTGTATATGGTTGTTTCTGGTCGGCTGGGTTGTTTTGGCTGGCATGAGGTGATGGTGAGTCTTGATTGGAGTTGGAGTGATTGGTGTTGGGTGTATAGTAGAAGTCAGTTGCTTTGAGCCATTCACCGAAGAGTCCCACCACTAATCTTTCGTTTTCTATATACTCCTTCCTTTTCTCACAGGTCTTGTCTTGGTGGCCAATAATTCCACAGTAGAAGCATAGACCCACCAATCTTTCGTATTTCAGTTCAATGGCTATTTTTTTGTCTCCTAGTTGAATTGTTACAAACCTGAGAATAGGGTGCTCTAGGTCAATCGTGACCAGCAGTCTGATACACTTGCTTGCTAGTTGTCCGCTCTGAGGAATAGAAACGTCCTTAACCTTCTTAAATGCTTTACCTATTTTTAGCCCCACCTCTTCTGTGACCCAATTAATGGGTACATTCCAGACTTGGACCCATATATCTAACTGCTTGAAGGATTGATGTTCTGGGTGTAAGCCTTCCTCCCATTGACGAAGCAACAGAAATTGGTTATCAAAAACCCAGTTGGTACTCTTTGCTACCTTCAATTTGTCATCTTTATCCGAGAAAACAAATTGGAAGAAATTAGCTTTGAGCTCTTTTATCACCATTGTGCCTCTGATGTACCACATGTGGCTTAGGGCCCTTTTTAATCCTAGCAGATTCGCCTTCTTCAGGCCTATGACTTTCCCGAACAAACTCCGTGCACATTCCGCTGAGCCAGCCTTAATATCATCTTCGCCTATGGGAATTACTTCTGCCTCTTTCTCAAAGAATTGAATGGTGCTGAGTTTTTGAGCTATATCTGAATCCATATCCTGAACTTAATCCCGCAATAGCCACCGTTGATTAGAAATATAGGCCCTGAAAAGCAAGAAGAAAAGAAACAATGAAACCCTAAAAATTGGGGGAAAATAGAACAACGCTAAAGAGGGAAGAAAACATGGCAAAGATTTGAATTGATGAATCCATCCCTTCGACAAGGGAGTTCAGCCTGAGAAATGCGCTCATATTGAAAGAGAAAGGTCACTCGAAAGAGAAAGATCGCTCATAAGAGAAAGGTCGCTCCCATGGAAAGAGAGAATTTCAAGGAAAAAATTGGATGTTTGGGTTTTGTTCTAGAAAGTTCCATCAAGATGAGGAAATTGTGTTTATAAAACACTAGTAAAAATCCCGTACGATGCGGGTTTGTACTTTAAAACTTTAAAAAAAAAAGAAATTATTTTAACAATGTATTAACCAGTTGCCCTGTTTGTATTCATATAATTAATATTTTAAAATATATATTCGTTTTTTTGATACAGAAATAATAATTTTACTTATTATTATTTATCATAATGCTTAAATATTATTTTATTCTAAAATTTAATTTCATATAGTTTCATTATTATTAGTTATAGCACTTATAAAAGTAGTATTCTTTTTTCTTTTATATATAATGATAAGTATTTAATTTACATTAATATTATTTATTGATGTAATTAATTTAAAAATATAAAAAAAAATTAAAATAAGCATTTTACCATATATACATTCTATACAATTTTAGGAATTTATAATTTCTCATAATAATTAAAAATAAAATCATATAAATACGATTTTATGACAATATTAAATATATTAAGCCTAATATGTTATTTGTTCCTTGTACGTAGATACTTTTTCATAATGTGGTAGATTATATGGATGTTAAGAAAAAATGGAATGTATCCGAAAAAACCTGTATGTGATTTTTTCTTTTAAATGTTTGAATTTAAAGTTTTTCCAAAATTTTCAAAAACACATTTAGGCGGGATGTTTCAAAATTTTTCAAAAACATTACTATGTTTATTAGCCGCAATATTTGATCAAAATGATTCTGTACACTAATTACATTAATTTAGGCGAGAATTTTCAAATTTTGGCTAAAAAATTACTCAATTTTTAGTAAATTTAATTTTTAGGCGGGAAACTAAATTTTTTTTACTGATTTTTAGTTACCATTTCAAGTAAAATTTATTGTCTTTTTATATATTAATAGATTTAGGCGGGATTCTTAATTATTTTTTAGTTACTATTTTAGAGTTTTTTGGGTTATCTATTTATATAATAATAATAATATATTACATCTACCTCAATTAATCAAATTTATTACTCCCTCCTATTTTTAATAAATATCGTTTTGAAAAGTTGCACAATAATTAAGAATATTTTTTTTGCTAATAATAACTCTCATTAATGAGGATAAAGATTGATGTTTTGAGAAAAGATGGAGAGTGAATATGAAAAGACGTATTGTATTTATTAGTTAGATGAGGGTAATGATGGAAAAATATGTACAAAATAGCCAAAACAACATTTATTTAACAAATGATCAATTAAGCTAGGATGACAAATAACAAAAATAGGAGGGAATACAAAATAACTCAACTTGTTTCAAGACAAATCAGTTTTGGACACTTGCGGGCCCTACACTAACACATCAATCAAATTTGTGTCTCCCTCTCTCTAAATCTCTCAACTCTCGCATCGAACTAAAAAAACAAAAAACAAGAAAAAATAAAAAAATCCTGCAATTCAAACTACTCGCTTTCTCCTTTAAAATTGCACCTCAGAGCCCTGTCCATGGAAGTCACCCCATATTTGCAGGCCATAAATTCAAGATTCCCGGACAGCTGGAGGACGCCGTTCGTCGAGGAAGAGCGCCATGAAAGCACGAGCAGTGTTAGCATACAAAACC